GGCCTTAGTGGAGGATTCTTGGCTGGGCAGGTAGTCTCTGGGATATGCTCCCCAGAATCCTCAGTGTACCAGGGCAAGCACGTGGCCCAAAGCTCCCAGGGGCCTTGGTGGGTGTAAGCAGCAGAATGCTGGACAGCACTGCCCAGAGTCCCCAGGTGGTTTGTGAGAATGCAGCCAGCAGCTCTCAGGAGACTCTGGGGTGAGAGCTGCAAAGGTGATGATGGCTGCCCTACGTAGAATCCTTCAGGGCCTGCCATCACCAGAGCCCTCTGCAGTGAGGGCAGTATAGGTCAAATGACAGATGGCGGTATCCATCACCCTCGGGGACCTGCAGCTTGCAGGGACCTCTGGAGTGATGGCTGTATTGACAAAATGACAAATTGTGCTACCCATTACCCTTGGATGCCTGCTGTTCTTAGGAACCTCTGGGGGGGAGGGCTGCAAGGGCAGAATACCAGGCTTCAGTGCTTGGAATCCCTGGGGATCCCTGCATACCCTGTAACTCCCAGAGTTTCTGTGGTGAAGGTTGTGTGGGTAGAGCACTACCTGGAATCTCTAGAACCAGGGAAAGCATGGGGTCTGCAGCTCCTGTGGTCCTCCCAGCAGGGCTGTGCAGGCAAAACCTACCCTACATTACCCAGAACCCTCAGGGGCTGCAGCTCCCAGGATCCTTTGTAGTAATTGAGCAAGAACACTACACTACATTACCCACAATCCTCAGGACTACAGCTCCCAGGATCCTTTGTAGTAATTGAGCTGCACTACATTACCCACAATCCTCAGGGCTACAGCTCCCAGAACCCTCTTTGATGATTGAGCAAGCCCTGTGACTGAAGTATCCACAACCCTAAGGGGGAATTTAGCTCCCAGAACCCTCTGATGCGAGTGGGCAGAACTACATGACTCAGTACCCTCAAGGGCTGTAGCTCTAAGGATCCTCTGTGGGGAGAACGGGAGGGCAGAGAAGTTAACTGTACTACCTGGAATCCTTGGCGGGAGGTGTTGTCCAGGTGAGTGTGCAGCCTGCAACTCCCAGAGGCCTTCACAGTGAGGGCTGTGCAGAAGGCCAGACTACACTGCCCAGAATCCCTGAGCCCTGGAGTGCCCAGACACCTTCCTGTCGAGGGCTTCAGGGAAAAGCATCTGGGGTGTCCACGCAGATCCCCAGAGCCGTGATGGTGAGGTCCACTTAGATAGCATGGACTGCATTACCCAGAATAATCAATGGCCCACAGACCTCTGAGGTCAGGGCTGCCCTAGTAGTACGGACTACAATGCCCAGAATTCCTGGGGGCTCAGAGTTCTAAGGTGCCATTATAATGTGGTCTGCACCAACAGAGCACCACACTACAAGGTCCCTGGTGCTTGGGGGCCTGCAGCTCCCAGGAGCCTCTATGGTGAGGGCTTCATGGGCTGAATATACTTCCTAGAGTCACTCGGGGCTCCCGTATAGCAGCATACAGAAACTTCTGCAGTGAGGGCCACATTGTAGAATACTGGACTGCACTGGCCAGAATCCTGGAGAAGGTGGTACTTGCAGCCTCTGTAGGCTTCTGTGGTGAGGCCTGCGTGGCCAAAATACCTGACTACACTGCCAGAGTCCTCCAGGTGCCAGCATGTGGCACACAGCTCTCAGGTCCTCTGTGGCTAGGGTTGCCAGGGTCCAAAAGGGAGTTCTCCTTCAAAGAATAGCCTGACAGTTACAAGAACCAGCCCCCTGGGAGACATCCTGCCTGGGAGGCACCCTGCAGCCATCCATCTCCCTGAGACATCCTGCAGCCATCTGTCTTCCTGAAACATCCTGCGTTATCTCGCCTTGTGAAGACATCCAGCAACTGCCAATAAGAGGGCTTCCCCCATCCCCAGCCCATAAATACCCCTGTGTGAACAATAAAAGTTTGCAGCTTGATCAGAAGTTTTGTCTTGCTGTCACCTTTCGTGTCTCCTGTCCCTTCATTCCTCCCCATCTAGGTTCGCTGCCCACGTTGATGTGTCCTGCCGGTTGGGACATAGGGTGTGTGGGCAGAACACCAGGTGACACTGCCAGGGCCCTCCAGGTGCCTGGACAGCACGTGTCACACAGCTCTCAGATCCTCTGTGGTTACAGTGTGGGGTCAGAATACCAGATTTCACAGTGAAGATTCCCTGGGAATTCTGAATGAACGTGTACCTGTAGCTCCCAGGGGCATCCATGACTATAGCTGAATCATCTAGAATGAATTATTTAGAATTAATTAGAAAGCCCCAAGGCAGGGGCCTGAAGCCTGCGTTCCCAGAATCACCAGAGAGTTTGATCTGAAGTAAGTTCTCCCCTTGACAGTGGTCACCATGGGCTGAGATTAAACTATTTTTTTTTCCTCCACCAGGTGTTGAACTCAGAGGTGCTTAACAACTGAGTCACAACCCAGCCCTGTTCAGTTTCTATTTTGAGGCAGGGTCTTGCCAAGTTGCTTAGGGTCTAACTAAATTGCTGAGACTAACCTTGAACTTGTGATCCTCCTGCCTCACCCCCCAGAGCCACTGGAATTTCAGGTGTGTGCTACAGCATCCAGCCTTAACTTCTTTACTGAAAAACCATGATCTGAAAATGGGGAAGCCTCTGGCTAAGTCACTCTGTCTCAAAAGCCACACTTCCCAGAGGCCTCTGCAGTGGGCTGTTTCTGGGCTTCTGTTGGGTGAATGAGTGAATTTCCCAGCTCCTGCAGCTGCACATGTCTGCACCCCTGCCCACCTGGCCCCTGGCTGCAGCAGCGCTTGGCCTGGTGGAGTGCAGGGCTGGGGTGCAGGTATTAGATTGTAGCTAGCAATGAGCAGTGTAATGCAGGCAAGGTCCCAAGAGTTCTTTAAACTCCTTCTCAGAGGAGCCCAAGTGTGACACCAGCTTGGGGACACTGTGGGTCATGACTCTAAGGAGGCCTGGAGTTCCTTCTCCTCAGAGCTGCCTCAGGGAGCCACCTGGCTTGGGGACACTGTGGGTCATGTCTCTAGGGATGACTGGAGCTCTCTTGTTCCCAGAGTTGCCTGAGGGAGATGCACTAGAAGCTTCTGGAATGACCTGCAGCAGGTGTGGGAAATGTGGTATTGGTGAGGAGAGAACCCCACCTTGGGACTGAGAGCTGGGATAGCCTGGCTGTGGGCTCTGCTCCTTCACTATTTAATTCAGGCTGGCTCTGCAGCAGGCCTTAGGTTGTGACCCTCATCATCTGTTTAAAAATAATTTACTTTAGGTATTTACTGTCATAATTTAAAATAAAATTTAGTTGTAGTTGGACCTAATACCTTTATTTAATTTATTTATTTTTATGTGGTGCTGAGGAGGGAACCCAGGGCCTTGAATGTGCTCCACAAGTGCTCTACCACAGAACCCCAGCCCTAGCCCCTCATCTTCTTTCTACAGTTACCCCAGTTTTTTCCTGGAGAACCTGGATGGGATGAAGGAGGAATGATGAATGAGGGTCCTAAGCCCAGGAGAGACTCCATTACTTGTGTTCCTTATTGCTTATTTTTTCAAATATTATTTTAGTTGTTAATGGATTGTGTTTTATTTATTGATACTGAGAATCAAACCCAGTGCTTCACACATCCTGGGCAAGTGCTCTGCCACTGAGCCACAACCCCAGCCCTCCTTATTGTTTTAATGGTTCTTTTTTGTGGTGTCAAAGTAGTAGAAAAGAACATGAAAAAATGGAAAAGCACATGTGTTATCAGCCCACTACTTTATTTCAGTTTAGTATATTATTTGTAACAAATTTATTTATTAAAAATGTATTTCAGGGCTGGGGCTGAAGCTTCCTGGTAGAGTGCTTGCCTAGCATGTGTGAGGCACTGGGTTTGATCCTCAGCACCACATATAAATAAATAAGATATAGGTGTTTTATCTACACCTAAAAATATTAAGAAAGTTTATTCCATGTGCTAAACTCATGAACCACATTTCATGGAACTAAACTCATGAAAGTAAACTCATGAATCACACTTTTCTTTGGTTGAGAGAATTCCAGTTTAATTATCAGTATTTGTGCATCTTCCCTCTTTTGAAAATTTTTTAAAATATTATTTTTAGTTGTAGCTAGACACAATACCTTCATTTATTTATTTTTTAATGTGGTGCTGAGGATCAAATCCAGGGCATCACATGTGCTTGGTGAGTGCTCCACCACTGAGCCACAACCCCATCCCTGGTGCATTTTACTTATCCATAATAGTGGGGTCCATTTTGATGTATGTGGACATGCATGGAGCATAATTTGTTCAGTTTCACCCCAGTATTTCCATGTTCCCTCTCCACCTCCTTCCTCCTGCTCCCATTTCTCTAGTGGTCTTCCTTCTATTTATTTATTGTTTTGTTAAACTGGTGGTTTATAGATAGACATGAAGGGGGGATTCACTGTGGTGGAATTGTATATGTACTTAGATCGTTTGGTTCATTCTGCAGTTCCTCCCTTTTCCCATCCCTCCTCTTACCCCCTACATCCCCTTCTATTCCACTGACCTCCCTTCTATCTTTATGGGATCTCCCCTTTTTTATATTTCCTTATTTTTTTTAATTTTTTAATATTTATTTTTCAGTTTTTGGCAGACACAACATCTTTGTTTGTATGTGGTGCTGAGGATCGAACCCGGGCCACATGCATGCCAGGCGAGCGCGCTACCGCTTGAGCCACATCCCCAGCCCCATAAATTTCCTTATTTATCTCTAGTTTCTGTGTATAAGATAAAACATTTGACCTTGGATTTCTGAGTCTGGCTTATTTCAATTAGCATGATGTTCTCCAGTTCCATTCATTTACCAGCAGATGCAGTAATTTCATGCTCCTTTATGGCCGAGTAAAACTCTGATGTGTGTATATGCCATGTTTTCTTTATCTGCTCATCTGTTGACAGACACCTGGAATGGTTTCATAGCTTGTGAATTGTGCTGGCTTAAACGTTGATATGGCTGTATTCCTATAGCATGCTGATTTTTGTTCTTTTAGGTAAATACCAAAAAAAAAAGGGGGGGTGGGAGGAACAGCTGGATCATGTGATGGCTTTATTTCTAGTTTCTTGAGGAATCTCTGTACTGCTGTCCATAGTGGTTGGTTGCACTCGTCTGCACAAACAACAGGTGAGTGTACCTTTCTCCATATCCTCACCAGAGTTTGTTGGTTTTTGTATTCCTGATGTTTGCCCTTCTAACTGGAGATGAAATCTTAATGTAGATGTGATTTGCATTTCTCTGATTGCCAGGGATGTTGAACCTTTTTTTTTTCTTTCATGTGTTTGGCCATTTGTATTTCTCTTTTTGAGAAATATCTGCTTAGTTCTTCCACCCATTTTTGTATTGAGCAATTCATTTTTCTGTTGTTACATGTTTTGAGTTATTTATTTTTCTGGACATTAATCCCTTGTTGGAAAAGTAGATTGAAAAGACTTTCTCCCATTCTGAGGGGCTCTCTTCATGATCCTATTTTCTTTACTGGGCAGAAAATTTTAATTTGAAGGCATCCCTCTTATTGAGTCTTGGTTTTATTTTTTTATTTTTTGAACTTTATATTTGATATGCCATAAAATAAATTTAGAAAAGTCACCTTTCTCTCTCTCTTTTTGTCTATAGATCATGAACATTTGAAATAAAATCAGAATTTGTTAAAGGGCAGATGACAGCCAGCCTTGAGTCCTGATGATCCCAGGATCCCATCCAGTGGGAGAACTCTAAGTACCAGTCCAAGGTTCTGTATGCTAATTGATTAATTTATTTTTCTTATTTTAGAGTTATTTTGTTATGTAATTCCTCATTGCCTCCAGTTCTGTGCAGTAGGTTTTAATTAATATTCTTTAAGTTTTCTACATAATTTTTAAAATACTTTTTAGTTGTCAGTGGATCTTTTTATTTTATTTATTTATTGTGTTTATTTATATGTGGTGCTGAGGATTGAACCCAGGGCCTAACACCTGCCAGCCAAATGCTCTGCCTTTGCACCACAACCCTAGCTCTCTATAGAATTTTTAATTCTTGGACTTCTATTTTTTATAAAGAATATTTTAAAAATTACTTTTAGCTTACTTTGTTTTTGATTGAGAGAATTGTTTTGTTTGAGAGAATTGTCTTGTTGGAAATTCTCATAATAAAATGATTTTAATTAATTTCCATTTATTAAGGTATCTTTGGAGACTGGGTGTGCAGCTCAGTGGAAGAGCACTTGCCTGGCTTGTGAGAGGCCATGGAGTCCATCCCAGAAGATGTCTTTGACAGGACTCAAGCATGAGAGGTATGCTTTAAAAAGATCATGTATTGGGGCTGGGGTTGTGGCTCAGCAGTAGAGCACTCACCTAGCACATGCGAGGCACTGGGTTCAATCCTCAGCACCACATAAAAATAAGTAAATAAAACAAAGGTATTGTATCCAACTACAAGTAAAAATAAATAATTTTTTTAAAAAGATCATGTATTTACACATATACACATATACCACAGTGCCTCTTTCAAATTCATATGAAATTATTCTAAGAAAATTGCAAATCAATTTTAAAAGAGAAGAGGGATGACGATATTTTTAATGTTAACTGTTGATATTTTATGATATTTAACACCACTGTACATGAAGTCTTCTGGGGTGCAAATCATTACAAAATGTAAGAGACAAGTCAGTAGCTGCTTTTTGTAATTCAGATACATTTACTCAAAATAAGCTTTTTTTAAAAAAACAGATATTTTCTTCTTTTCAAATTTAGAAAGCATTTTCATATGTCCTATTAAAGTTCTATATTCATCAGAAAGTTCTCTTATTCCTTGCATACAAAGGGATGGGCCTTCTAATGAGCATGATACTTTATGTTGTCAGGAATTCTTGGAGGAAAACCCTTTAAGAATTTTGCCTCTTATATTCAAAATATCTTTTAAAAATGTATCAATTTGCTTTTGATTTCATGAATTTGTCTTTCTTTTGAAATTATGTATTTATTCGTATTTAATTTATTTATTAGTATTTAATAATTTTAAGGTATTTATTAGTATTTAGGGTTATTTCATGTGGGAAATACCATGATTACATTTTATCCTAGTGTTGTGCCCCTATGTGCTTATAAGGTGGCTTTCAGAATGCAGTTGAGTATCTCTCTCATATTTGTTGGATTCATTAGAAAAGTACATGCACTTTTGATCATATTCAAATGGTTATATTTGAATTATTAGAAGCAGAAATCAGACATGTTAGTATTGTGAGCTGAACAAAGTGCAGGTTTACTTTAATCATTTTGAGGAGGTTGACATAATGGCTTCTGTCCTCTTCTGTACCTGCCATAGTTGACTGTTATCAGATGTCTCACCTGGAGAAGTTTTTTTTTTTTTTTTTTTTTTTTTTTTTTTTTTTTTTTTTTTTTTTTGCACTGGGGATTAAACCCAGGTCCTTGCATGTGCTATGCAAGCCCTGAGCTACATATGTCCCGAGTCCTTGTTACAATTTCATTTTGAGACAGGGTCTAGCTGAATTGCTAATGTCAGCCTCAAATTTGTGATCCTTCTGCTTTATCTTCCCAAATAGCTGAGATGAGAGGCATGTGCCATTTTTCTTATGAACAGTCAATAAAGCCTTTTTGTTGTTTTGATGGTCTGATTAACGTGAACATGCTTTATGATGTGACACCACTGTTATTGATGGTCTATAAGGAGAGTATTTTGATTCTGAGAGTCTCAAGTGTTTTAGCTCCAACATGTTTCCTTAAGAGAAATGATTATTCATTTTCTATTTGATTACACAAATAAGACATAAATTCTTTTTTCTTCATTTTGTAGTTCTGGGGGTTGGTTCTAAGGCCTCCTGCATGCTAGGAAATCTTTCTACCACTTAGCTACATCCCCAGCCCCATAGATCCTTTAGTTGTCATGAGCTTCATGATGAACTAGTGACAATAAAATTACTTAGAATTTCAACTAGATTTAGACTCATGCAAGAGTTTGGGCATCCATAGCTCCTTGTGATTTCTAAAAGGTAGAGTGTTTTCCCACAATACAGCAGCATCTAATATCACTCCTGGACTGAGTTGACACCTCTGCTTTTCTTGGCTCACCGCTTCCTGCAGAGGTTTTGGAGGAGATGGACGTTCTTTGACTATTTGTCCCAGTGACAAATATTTGATTACATTGCTGCTAAAAGGTATGCATAGAAATAAAATAGAGACAAGGACTCTTTGGGATAAGTCATTCATTCACAGTGAGTCAATTCGTATTAGGACACTTTTTTTTTAATAAAGTCACTCTTTAGGGAAAGTTAAGCCATGAGTTGAAATAGAATATCGAAATTGTCATTCTTACCCCCTGTAGTGATCAAGTTTTAAGAAGACAAACCTAGAACTAGAAGTTAGTGACATGATAAAAATATAATGAGGTTCTTTGCCTCACCTCTGTTGACCCCCAAATTTTAGCTGAATGATCATGACAAGCAGAAGGGAGGAAGATATACCAAGTCAATTGACGGCTCCTTTTGGGAAAATTGTACCACCGATGATATCATCAGCAAAAATACCCCAAC